ATTGAAAATATTCTAATGGTTTTGCTGCTAAACTGCTAAATAGTACATTTTGGGCGTGCACTTCATATCTGAGAGTCAAATAGAAGCGTCCAATAGTGCGCTTAGAGCGCAGTTGTAAACATTCTAATTGTTTTGCTGCTAAACTGCTAAATAGTACATTTGTGGCCTGTGGTGCACTTCATATCTGAGAGCCAAATAGAAGCATCAAATTGTGAGCTTACTGCGCAGTTGTAAACATTCTAATTGTTTTTCTGCTAATCTGCTAAGTAGTACATTTTGCGGCCTGCTCTTCATATCTGAGCGTCTAGTAGTGTGCTTACATCGCACTTTAAAAAAAATGATAATTATTTGGGTGCTAAATAGTACATTTGCGGCCTGCTGTGCATTTCTTGCAGTCCAATAAACTAAAAAAAACAAAAACATTGTTGACTGTTGGCAGTTACATTGTCGCCTGACATAAAACATCTGTTAGTTTGGTGGGTGAACGCAAAGAATGAGGAGAGCATCAAATAAGGGACGTGGCCCTGGTCATGGTGCTTCTGGTGTTGGTGGAATCCCTGTTGCAAGGAGAGGACGTGGTCGATCTGTGTCTGCTACACGCACAAGTGAAACACCTTCCTCATGTGTGAGTACGTGACAGAACCTTCAGCATTATATGGTAGACCCAAATACCTCTCTACTAATGGTGAGGCCAGAACAAGTACAGGCGATAGTAGATTGGATGACTGACAGTGCCTCCAGTTCCTGCACATTGTCTCCCACCTGGTGCCCTGCTGAAAGCTGAGTTGGCACCTGCAGCCCATGGCCATCTGTCTATCACCTTAACCCCTTGGAAATCACCCAAGCAGTCTGAGCCACAAGTCATGCAGCAGTCTCTTATGCTTTTTGATGACTCTGCTGGTGAGGTTTCCATGGGCCATCCACCTAGCCCTACTCCAGAAGTGGAAGGGATTGAGTGCACTGATGCACAACCACTTATGTGTGAGGATGTGGATATGCAAGGACCACCGCAGCATGTCTCTGATGATGACGAAACACAGGTGCCAACTGCTGTGGCTTTCGGCAGTGTGCAGACCGGCAATGAGGGCAGGGTTGAGGAGTGGGTGGAAGATGATGTGGAGGATAATGAGGTTCTAGACCCCACATGGTATAAAGGTCATGCGAGTGACGTGTCCAGTTTGGAGGAAGAGGCGGTGGTTGCACAGAGGCACCAGCACAACATAAGAGGGAGCAGGGTGCCAAAGCGGAGCGGACGTGCCCTAGACGGTATCCCTGCTACTGCCCACTGCACCCAGGGACCGGGCACACCAAGGAGTTCCCTGGTGTGGAAGTTCTTCAGACAATGTGCTGACCGCAAGACACAAGTGGTTTGCATGCTGTGCAATCAGAGCCTGAAGCGAGGCATAAACGTGCTAAACCTGAGCACAACCTGCATGACCAGGCATCTACATGCAAAGCACGAGCTGCAGTGGAGTAAGCACCTCAAAAACCAAGAAAGGTCTCAGGCTCCTCCTGCTTCCTCTTCTGCTGCTGTCTCGGCCTCTTCCTCTACCTCTGAAGTCACAGTGGCACCTGCCACCCTGCAAATAGAGGATGTGGCAGCAACAACACCATGTCCGCCACCAAGCATCTCCACACTGGAAGCATTCAGCTGTCCATCTCCCAAACACTGGAGAGAAAGAGAAAGTACCCCCCTAGCCACCCGCAATCCCTGGTCCTGAATGCCAGCATTTCAAAATTCATGGCCTTTGAAATGCTGTCATTCCGTCTGGTGGAGACGGACAGTTTTAAAAACCTGATGGCGGTGGCTGTCCCACAGTACGTGGTTCCCAGCCGCCACTACTTTTCCATGCGAGCCATCCTTTCCCTGCACAACCAATTGGCGGACAAAATCAGGTGTGCACTGCACAACTCCATCAGTAGCAAGGTCTACATAACCACAGATACGTGGACCAGTAAGCACGGGCAGGGACGCTATATCTCCCTAACTGCACACTGGGCAAATGTGGTGGCGGCTGGGCCTGAGGTGGATAGCAGTTTGGCGCATGTCTTTCCGCCACCGCCGAGGATTGCAGGGCATTTCTCTTTGCCTCCTGTTGCCTCCTCCTCCTACTCAGCTTCCTCCTCCTCTACCACCACCTCATCTGGGCAGCATAACACCCTTACCCCCAATTTCAGCACAGCCCAGGGGAAATGACAGCAGGCTGTTTTAAAACTCATATGTTTAGGGGAAAAACGCGCAGGAGGTGTGGACTGGCATGGAACAACAGACTGATGAATGGTTGTTGCCACTGAGCCTCAAGCCTGGCCTGGTGGTGTGCGATAATGGGCAAAATCTCGTAGCAGCTCTGGGCCTTGCCGGTTTGCCGCACATCCCTTGCCTTGGGCATGTGCTGAATTTGGTGGTGCAGAAATTCCTGAAAAACTACCCAGATATATCAGAGCTGCTGCAGAAAGTGCTGGCCATCTGTGCGCGCTTTCGGCGTACTCACCCTGCTGCTGCTCGCCTGTCTGTGCTGCAGCATAACTTCGGCCTTCCCACTCACTGCCTCATATGCGCCGTGCCCACAAAGCTGGAGAGACTGTACGAACAGCAGCAGGCAATAGTGGAGTTTCAGATGCAGCACATACGGGTCAGTGTGTATTGTCTGAACGTGTGTTTAGCATGGCAGGGGGCGTTATCACAGACAAGAGCAGCCGCCTGTCCACAGCCAACGTGGACAAACTCACATTTATTAAAATGGACCAGGCATGGATTCCACCAGACTTGTCTGTACCTTGTGCAAAATAGACATTTATATTGGCCTCACACAGCCATTGTTTTACTCAAGTGCACTTATTCTTGGTTTTCTTTTTTTATATGTCCCAATATTTTGGGGGCTACCCCAATAAAATAAATAAATAAAATAAAAAACAGTGTTGGCTACCTCCTCCACCACAGCTTCCACCTACACCACCACGGTCACTGCCTCCTCAACCTATGGGTCACTTAGTATAAACTATGTACACAATAGCAGAGACTTGTGAAGGCCTTTTCTCCATGCATTTTTTATTTTAGTGAATAACCCTGTAGCATTCTTTGTTCACAGAAAACATCCTTTCACACTTTTTTACACTTTTTGATTTCAAAACAGAACTGACACAAAGGGCATGGGCATCAGTTCTCTCTGTTTGGGACTCAGTGTCCTTTCGTGGTTCTTGGTGTGCTACATTGCTCCTGATTGTGATTAGTGTGTGCACCAGACCCTTGCTTGTTCCTGACCTTGTTCTTGCCTGATACTTTGTTTCCAGTTATCCTGTGACAGTGTAGCAGTCACCAGCTGGTTCTTTTTACAGTGAGTTTTACTATTGAGTTCCTAACTTACTTTTATTTCTTGTTTTCTTTACTCCCTGGCCTGAATGGAATGTTAACTTAAAGCTGTTTCTATTTCTATTTCGTATCTAAACGATAAGCCTGGTAATACGCCTCTATATATTTGCTCCAATGCTTTTTGTTAGGTATATTTATTTATTACTGGCATTTATAAAGCGCCAACATATTCCGCAGCGCTGTACAATTAGGGTAGAACATACAATATGCACAGACAGGGCCGGATTAACATAGGGGCTCATGGAGCTGCAGCTCCAGGCCCATGCCTATGGAATAGGCTCATTGATTTAAAAAAAATATATATTTTTATTTTTTTACAGTACACTTCACATGCTCTTGATTAAAACTTAAGAGGAATGTAGGGGAATAAAATTAGTGTTGATTGGCTGACAAATTAGTTAAGGTAAAGCTGACTTTGCTCACTATGCAAATGCTCTTTCTGCTTCAGTCTCTCTAACACTGTGGCATGTACCCTTTCTTCTACACTCACTACATACACTTTTTTTTCTGTCCCAGACTATATAAAAGAAGCATCTGCCTGCTAGTAAGAAGGTTAGAAAAGGAGTAGACCAGCCAGTTCTAGGGGAAAGTCCTTAGAAAGCGTAGCGCTAGCGCATCATTAGACACATTTATGCTAAGCTCAGGGTGCTGTCGTCACAGTATGCCCTTGGTTAGTCATCCTGCATGATTGGCAGGGAGCCTGACGTACATTCACGTCAGGCTGACCATCTAATTCTTTGTGCATCCTTTTTAGGAATGTTTGTCCCTTTTTGTGGTTCTGGTTACGTGACTGGCGTCAGTGGCCCACCCTTTTAACCCAGCCACTGAAATCCTGCTTCATTGGACACTGCTTTTAGGAGTAATGGATTTACTTGAAAGATGAAAGTGAGAGATTAGCATAGGGTTTGTGTTTTACGATAGCAGCATCCTGTGAGTTTCCCTTCAGCATCACCTCCACCAGATACATGGCGCTTGGGAGGTATAACTGTTTTAGTGTTTTCTGTAGATAAGATTCTGTAACTAGGCCCATCATAATTGTCAGCACCAAGCCCAATGGGCTCTTAATCCTGCCCTGTGCACAGACCAATACAAAAGGTAAAGAAGGCCCTGTCTGTGAGCCATTGATCTATCCCAGGACCTAGGCATTGAAGCTCTTTTATACAAAGTGCTTAGATAGACAGCCCGTTCTTACAAACTAATGGATATAATGTGGATTTGAGAGGTAGCAGGGGGGATTTGGAAGTGATGGCCTGAAGAAATGACAATTGGCAGAGAGTTGAAGTTACTGGTCATTGAGGTGTCATTGAGTAAGATCTCAGACAGCTGAAGGAACATGCTATAAATTTAGTAGGAACCTGGGTGGGTGGGGGTGGGCAGAAGTGCTTACAGCAAATGAATTAAGTTAGTATTGCATGCTTCTGGGTTTGCAAATTGAGGCCTAAATTGAGGTTGTTCACTGTACCTTGTTGAAGATCATTTCAGTATCCCGATATCTCTACCACTTGCAATGTGGCATACTGGGCAGGAGTCAAGAATATTGGATTTATCTACAGATAAACCAGTCTTTCTACATGACACCAGCTCCAAAGATGTAATATTATTATTTGAGATTTATATGGTATAAAATTACCTTTCTGGCTTTCATGTACTTGGTGTAGTCATCGTCAGCCAAGGCCTTGTATAACGCTAAAGGCCGGTAATCTCTGTAACCCCATGAAGTGTTAGCCCACAACACCAGTGATTTTTCATCTCCAACAAACTGACCATCAATAAAGCACATGACGCTTGAAGGGAATTCCCATGTATCTCCTTTAAGTTCCTGAAATAATAAAACATAAAAAATTGGTATTTATACCATCATTATATTAGTCAATAAATATTATGCTGGCATACAGTGCAGCCAGTAAATATTAGCACAATGAGATAAATCCAAATACTTGGATGGTGATGAATAGGTCTTTGCATTGTAGGTGCTCGGTTTCATATGAATATAATTAATCACTAAACTATAAATTGTCAAGAATTTGAAGTCAATTGAAATGGAATTTAAATTCTTTTTAAAATACGTTTTATTGAAGTTTCGTATAAGCTGCACAGGAAAGGCAAGCAACAACAGCGAAAATTGTATAACATAATAACAATGAGTTATGCAATTTCAAGAGTTATGCAACAAGAGTTATGCAATTTCTCCATAACAGTGAGTTAATATAATGAAGATTAAATAATACCCTACCCCCAAGGAAAAATAGGAGGAAAGGAAACAAATAAGAGAAAAGAGAGGGATTGATATTAAATAGGTTTCCCAGTTAAAAAAAAAACAATAACAAAGGAAAATTGATAGAGTCACCAGGTTCAATTGAATGGTGTATCTGAATAATGAGAGATCTCAGGGTCTCACATTTCAGTAAATGTTCAAAAACTAATTTGAATTTCTCCCATGATTCATACTTTAATGGATTACAATATAAGATTTCCTTTTCAACTAGCTGTCAAAATTTAGCAATGTGACATTGTGTATTTGTCAAGTCCATGAAGTCTAATTTACTACACTAAACGTTGATGAGGCTGAGAGGCACACACACACAAACCTGTATCCCTGACCCTTTGTGTTAAAACACCATCTAGCCCTTCTGCCCTCCCCCTCCATCACCCAAATATATTAAAATATTACCTTTACTTCAGTCTGTTGCTGCTGCTAGCTCTGCCCGTGATCTGCCTGCTTAGCTGACATCATCAGAAGATATGATCTGAGCCAATCCCAATGCTTTCCCATAGATCAGCATTGGATTGACTGAGCTTGTCAAGGAGGCAGATCAGGGGCAGAGCCAGCACAAGCCAAACACAGCCCTGGCCAATCAGCATCTACTCATAGAGATGCATTGAATCAATGCATCTTCATGAAGAAAGCTTAGTGTCTCCATGCAGAGGGTGGAGACACAGAATGGCAGTCACACTGACCCAGGAAGCACCTTTAGCGGCCATATGAGGAGTGGCCAGTGATGGTATCCCTAGGCTGTAATGTAAACACTGCATTTTCTCTTAAAAGACACTGCAAAAAGGCCAAAGGTAATGATTCTCCTCTCCAGAACAAATACAATACACTGTAGTTGTTCTGGGGACTATAGTCACCCTTTAAGGCCAAAACTGGCTGAACTGGAAAACGTAACAAAGTCAGTTTTGCTTCTAACTTTCAAATACACACGTTACACAATCCTGACAATTTTCACTTTAGTACATAACCCCTCAGTTCCTTTTTTCCTGTTTTATATTTCAGTTATATATAAAAGTCTATGGTTTATATGCAATGTTCTAGCAGTCATCTATTCTGTGTAAACATGGGCTGTTTGGGAAATGTATTTTATATGCACATTATGCCCACATACAGAAATTGGCCTCAATTTAATGTTTTTAGAGAAGCCTTTTAATTGATTTCATATTTTTGGATAGGTTTTTCAAATTATTTATTAAAAATCTAATATAATATTAATATATATCATATTTTGAAAAATAATATATATATCAAAATATTACATTTTAAAAGTTTATCCAGAAATATTACGTAATTTGAAAAGCTTATCCAAAAATATTAAATCAAGGCCTTGATTTTTACATTATTGTGCCATTTTGTAACAATTACAGTATGTGACAAAAATAGCATTTTTGACTCTGATAACATGAGAAATAGCAGGATAACTTTAATCAATACATTTGGAAGCAATTTGATTTGAGTAGAACAAATTTAGTTTTCAATAGAAAAAAAAAATGTCCCATGTCTTTTTAATGTGATCGATATTATAAAAGTCAAGTGGGCAAAATGTTACCTTTTTCTTTTCTGATAGGTAGTGATCCCAATCACATTCCAAGAGTGGGTGTATTATGGGGCTTTCAAACTCTGCATCAAATGAAAGTTTTAGTACCTAAAATAAAACACCATGCACTTAATTAACAAAAAACTTATATCATATGCATGTTACTACAAAGTTCCAAGCAAGCTTTAAATTAGAAAACAGATTCATTTAATATTGTCAGTCCATATACCCTAACAGTCCTTATAAACTGGATGCCACTAACATGTTATTTTATTTATAATATAAATAATAATGTATGTTAAGCTGCTGGTAGAATAATCACAATATGCCCCCTACCGCAGCTAGAGATTCAGGTGTACCCATGTGGCCACTATAACCATTTCAACATATTGAATTGGTCATAGTGCCTGGAGTTCTCTGTCACAGTCTCCCCATTTAGTGTTAAACCATTTTCAAACAGTTTAACAATGTCATCATTTATTATTGGTATGTATATAGCGCTAACTTATTCCGCTGCGCTTTACAATATTTTGAAAGGGGGAAATTTAACAATAAATGAGACAATTACAAAATGATTCAGGAACAATAAGTAGAGGAGGACTCTGCTCAGACGATCTTACAGTCTAGAGGAGGTGGGGTATAAAAACACAATAGGAAGGGCATTCAAGGGGGATAGAACCAAGCAACAAGGTGGAAAAGTAACAGAACTGGAAGTGAGAGTGGAGTGTGCCCTTAAGGAGAGAGAGACAGAGAAAGAATTGTGAAATAGAACTCTGGGAGGCCATAAGCATTTTTGAAAAGATGGGTTTTGAGAGACTTTTTAAAATGATTGAAGACTATGGGAGAGTCTGGTGGGGGTAGGCAGGCTGTTCCAAAGGAAAGGAGCTGCTCGGGAAAAGTTCTGCAAGCGCGAGTTATACTAAATAAGGATTCTGGCCCACCCACAGCCCGGCACCTACAGGAAATATGGCAGAGATTACACACTTCCTTTTAGCCATACAAACTCATGCTAGGAATGGGCGCTGTCTTATGCTGAAAGCGGTTTGTTGATGCTCTCAGCCAATCACAGCTGCCCACTGCCGCTCGGGCTAATGCTTTCTCATTATCCAAGGAAGCACAGAGGGGTTGTGCTGCTTGGGACTTGGGAAGTGGTTTTATAACATTAAAAACTTTTTAATGCTGAATTGAAGGACAGTGAGAGGTAAATTCAAACACTATGTGACGAACCGGGAACCGAACAGCCGCACGAACCAGAGACCACCCAGGTGCTTTTTAAGCCCAATGGATACTTTGTAGCAATTTCCACCGCAGTGTTCTAAGTGTTCGTCTGGGTGGCCGCATTTCGTATGAACGACCACGAGGTGGCGGACATCTTGTTTCCGTGAACGCAGGCAGCGATGTTTGGGCATAAATCTCATGGAACTAAAATCGGACACAGAAACTCCTGAACACCGCTGGACTTCCATCAATCGCCTATGTTCGGTTCTACCCCCACTTAGAAAGGCACTGTTTGGTGGAAATGTTCCCACGAACAAGGGGAACAGGCTACACAAGTAATT